TCTTATGTCAACGTTTCCAAAAAATGTAGCATTTCCTGCATGTAAAATAAATATTCAAGTAACTTTATGTGAGTGCATAAAATCAGAGGACGAGTATCGAGTCAACAACGTTTTTCAAGGAAACCTCATTTTCTTCGTACAGGTTTTTTGAAAAAAGAATTTAGGCTGCAAGAATATTACTTTGGTGTATCCATTACACCTACAAAGCATGAAAATCACGTCAGCCTATCATGGCTAGCCCGTCTCTATTCGGAGACATGAGCTAAAAGACAATATGTTTTATGGACACCTTCGGCGATACATTGACTTCGAATCTCTCAAAAACTGTAGCAAGTTCTAGATCCAAGAATCTTGCAGTTGCACGTGAATCCTGAACCACTTTAGGAGTTTTAGCAAATTAAACAAATATTTGCCGTTTGTTTTGTGCGGTCTCGGTTGGTCAACGAAACTTCGTTGTTTGGCTTTACATTGAAAGCGTCAGACCCATTATCAGCTTAGTAAATACTGTTTGATACTGTTTAGTAAAGACATTTCAATGTGTACTACAAGTTCTGCAGGGTGGAACCTTACAAACAATCAACAATGGTTCAACGTGTTTACAAAAACTAATGATATTTTAGTTTACAGAAAAGTCATTTTCCAAAACTACACACGAGGAATGGAGAGTATTATTCATGTCACTCCATCAATACCAAGTTAGTAATTTTACTTGTTTCCCATCTCCTGTATTGGTGATTTCGTTTCTGTGGCTAGACGGGCAGAAAAACAAACTGAGCCTGAGAAGATGCTAGTGGTTGCCAAAGACGTTTTAGAGCCGTCTGCAGAGTCGGCTGGAAAGTCTCCTAGAGGGCCTTTCAACGGATCCTAATTGAGGGGTCCAATGCACAAACCGGCCAAGTCCATTGTTTGAGCAAAATGAGTTGGGTTCATATTCTTGCACAAGTTTCAAATCTAAAACTGCCGGTGCATGAACCAGATCTATAACATTTAAATTGTGGAAACTGAGGTATATCATTGTTTGCCTACGCTTTTACAAATTGCATAATCCGGTCAAGTTCTGGACTTGACTAGTTTTTGCACAGTGCTGTCAGTCTAAGCACAGGTGTACTCTAAGATTATTGAAAATGCAAACAAGAACTTTAAAGCCATCCATGTAGCGTAGGATATATTGTTGGGTTTCAAGCCCCATTAGCAACATTTGTTTGTAGAGAATCCTTCAAGGAGGAACAATAAACTAAATAAAATAACTTAGAACAATAAACTAGATAATGAAATATTATTTAAATGTAGTTAGACAGTCCCTTTGTATCAGTTTAATATTTTTGAAAACCGAGACAAGATGTGCAGCCCCTCACTCTACCAAACACTACAAATAAGATGTATAATGAAAGAAGATAGCTAAATAAAAATAAATTTGATCACGTTATGATGCTGGATAAAAACTGTACCACACTGTGATCAGTGGTTCTATGGAGAAATCAGAAAATATCATCAGAGCTTTCCGCCATGTGGTGAAACTTCCGCATTAGTATTCAGTGAATAAATCAAAATGTTTTAAGTTTGTATCAAAAGTTTTAGTAACCCATGTATCAGTTTATTTGATTTCGGAACATAACAAAAGATAACATTTTTAACGTCAAAGTTTTTCATTTCGACTTTATCCCTTAAAAAATCAAAAAACTGCATAAACCAGTCAAGTTGACTGCTTCTAAATGAAAATTAATATTAAGTTGCACCCTGTAAGCTGCCACCAGCAAGATATGCGGCTTTAAAGAACAGTAAACAATCAGGAAGGATTCCAAGTATTCAAAAAACTGTAAGGTCAATGGTTCCATCACTTATGTGGTAGCATGAAACGTAGCGTGAAGAAGAAGCATGTGTGTATATCTCAATTATGTAATCATATGCAGTGTTGCACCGCCAATACGATGAAAAAGGCTTGATAAGCTGTGAAGATGTGTGATAATACATGGGAAATTAAGCAAATATATAACTACAGCGATCGATTGCTCTAAAGGTTGCCATTGGACAATTATCAAAATTATAGTTACAGGATTACTGGCAAGAACACATTCCACTTTTGAAATGGTTGTACCGAACGTAGAGACCTCGGTATTATTTATTTTTTAAATTCTAGGCGAGATTCGATACATTTCATATTTATTATCCGATACCTAAGTCTAAGCGTTTTTGAGATATCTCAAACGTTATAGTGGAGGAGCACAAGAAACTAGATGGTAGCTGCGTAGGGACTTGGTTTTTGAAGACTAGATCGCAAAGAGAAAAAAAGGTTATTTATTGTATACCCTTTTAGAGATGCGTAGAAATACTCGAGCACATCAGACGTTGATACTGGGCATGCCCCACGTGTCACTGATATGGCAGGTATGGTAAGCTACCAGTTTGTACGGGGAAGGCCATTAATAAAGGACGTCGGTTGTATGTCTACAACCAATAAAAGTGGCCAAAAGGAATTGCTGGAAAATATTTTCAGCTTCCTGAAGTGGCCGCAAGGAGCTCAACTCTAACCTCAAAATTATAAATGCTATTTTTCGAAAGCTTTAAATGCAATGGTATTATTGTTTTTCATTATCTAGAAAGTGCATGGAAAAACCTCCAAATCAGTAAAAGCCGCATGTCCGTATCTTCATTCGTTATAAAGTTTTTTCTTTTCATTTGTACTTGTGACCGAAGAGGTTTAGAAATTCAAGGGCATTAGGAAACAAAGTATGAGTAATTATTCTTTCAAAAAAGGTTAAAAAGGTTTTCATGTGCAAAGGTCAGCGATTGAAAACCAAAAAAGGGAACGTTTTATTGTGCTTTTTGCTTACAGCCACTCATAAAAGCTCTCATATTCTAAAATTTAAACGATTATCATACTTCCTATGTAGTTCCTCAACGAATGTTTACTAAGTTTTGTGAAAGTGAGAGCATGTATTTTTTCTATTTAACTAACCCAATATTTTCTAGCTAAGTATTCTATATTATATATTCTAAATCAGTATGCCTAGGACGGATACCATATTAAAAAAGGCATCAAGCATTATTTCAAACAAGGTCCCAAATTCTTGGCCACGCGGTAATGCGAATGCAAGTGGAAGCTAGATATCACATTCTTGTCTATTCGCCAAGTCCTGCAATCGCGAGTTGCTAACAAGTTTGGTGACTTAGGAAGCTCAAGAGGCTCTGCATTGCCTAAAACTCAATGCTTTCAATAAAGTACTGTCACTTGCGTTTTGAAAATCGAAAAATATACCATCATATCGATGTAACAATTTCGCCGTTTGGGATTCTTCTTAATATTAGATAATAATAACATACCAGTGAGACGCAATTAAGGATCGTGATTGAACCACTCACAAAGAAACTGACACTACCATACTTTAGAAGGAATCATAGGCTTTCTCGATCAACCATTTATCAATGGCTACAGTTGCTTCTTTTTTTTTTAAATTGCATGATAAATGAGGTCACCTCACACCAATATGCGTCTCAGCTTGTTTGTTAAATTAAAACATAATAGACTGTGAGCTCATGCACCTTCCGAGTAATTGTTGCGTTTAAAAGCTCGAATTTTTTTAGAGGTGATTGCAGTTATGGACTGTAACCACAACCTGACAGTTCACAGTCGTTGCTTGAATTATTTAATATATTTTTGGGGTGTTTAAAAATTAAAAATTAGTCTTGCCTCTCTTGTCTCGGTTTGTGCATCGCACCAGGCGATTACGACGCCGCTAAGTGCCTACCAAAAGAGTCGAAATGTGTGTATAATACAGGATGTTTCCAACACAGAGATCAAAAATTCAAGGGTTGGCTCTAAGGCTACTTTTGTCGATTTTCAAAAAATCGCTTTGTTTCGGAGATGCATGCCACGTTTTTCTCAAATAACCTTTGAACATACAGTGAAATTTTGAAAGTCTAGTTACTAGTTGAGACCTCATATTTATAATGGTGTTCTAAAATAATAATTAGTTCATTTATGTTACCAGGGACGGCTTATCCCTAACGCAATATTCTCTAGAAATAATTTAACTCGTTACACCCTATATAATAGTGGATCAAAGGAAATATTGTTGGAAGTACCTTTTATCAAAAACATTTTTTTTTTGCGGAAAACTCGAATGTATAGATTCTCAAATCACTTCTTCTTTCTAGATTTCTGTCCACTCTTTGAAGGCGGCATTGTGAAGTGGAGTCGCATTAAAGAAGGCTGTTTTTCTCAAAAGCGGTTCATATAATCGGAATCAGATATAGATGAATTTTTCAAACGAAGAATGAAGCCTTGGAAAAAAAAATGATTTCGATCCATTCCAAATCAATTATTATTCAGTATCACATTAGGCCTAGTCCGTCCCTGGCAAACTAAATAAACTAATATGTGTGGAGGTGTGGGTCCTGGACAAGTTACCATGAACACGCTTAGAATCTCTTAGGATTGTATAGTGCTGTTTGGCAATTATTTAAGAAAAACCAGTTCTCAGTGGCATCCTTTAGAGGCATGTGTCTCCGGAGCAAATTAGTATTTCGAAAGTCGTCAACAGACAAACTAGACTTGGAATGATCTTAAGAATAATTATTCTCTGAATATTTGCCACATGTTTTTGAAACATCATGTATACTGCATAATTTTCAACTCGCCTGACGTTTTAATGCAAGAAGAAAATCACATAACAATTTCAAGCTTTCATCTGGAAGTTTAGTTCCATTTTTTACAGTTCCAGAGAATGTATCAAATAGTGAAAGCAATGGCTACGATCCTCCTGCCATTCCCGTCCTTGGCAAGCTTTATGGATCGTATAAAAAATAATTCTAGCTTTTAAGCACAGCTGTTTCCTGGAGGTCACGCTCACGATATTTAAGCTCAACCTAATTAGTAACTAGAAAGCGCGACAACAACAATGTTGTTTTTGTGCCGTAAATTAGGCTACGATAAATACTATCTAGCTTTTACGTAGCTCCTATAGCCTTTCCTAAATGCCAATTATAGTTAATGACAATGACTGTCGCGATAGCAGTAACTTAAAACATATTTCTAACTTACAAAATTTCATTAGTCATAAGCTAGGCACCACCTTGTTGTGTTGGATACCACATTGCTGTATTTGGTAAGTTTCCTGACAGTTTTAGCCCAGTTTTCAAGTAAAAATTACAAAAATGATTATCACTTTCTAATATTTTAATTGCATCAATGTTGGATGTTTTATAGAAAATATGGCTTGACCATCGTATTCAACCAACTTTCTTCAATAATCAGCAGTCAGTTGTAGGAGAATCCACGTGTTTATTTGACCTACAAACGAATGTTGTATTTTTTTAAGAAAAGTTTTTATTTTGCCGGAACGGTGTACTGCTTATAATTGCGACTCATACACATACTAACTGCATGAGCAGTTTTTAGGAGTTTTAATTTATATTTTACGGACTTTCTCAGTCTTACAAATGAGAAAGATAAAATCAATGGTCTTGGTAGAGTACAAGAAAACAAGTGACATGGGGCAAAGCAGTGGATACTTTATTCATCATAATCCTTGTTTCTATAATATTAAAACAAAAAAATCAAGGGTCTATAAGAAAAAAAGCAAACGATAATTGATTTTCCTAAACGGCGAATCGATAAAAGCAACAGCTGTTATCAGTGATGTAAGTTATGAATGATGTACAGAGCTTGAGAGCATATTTAATCCATATGACATTTTTGTATCAAATTAAGCTTAAAGCAATATGTGGTATAATATTCATCTTACTCGAGGGTCAGCGCAAGGTGGATAAGCTGTAACTCTTTGTTTTTTGTTGCCTATTTACTTGGTAACTACAATTAGCCAAGAGTAATTGCTTAGTCTTTGTAAATGGGTAAGCGAAGAATCATATAAGATATTTGTCTTAATTCTACATACATTCATGAACCGTAGTGTTATGACAGCAATTGCTCAAGTTATTCACTTTGCCCTGATCTACCCACAAAAGCGCGATATAGCTGTTTGTTATGGTGCACTAAGCAGCTGCAATAGAGTAGCCAGCAACGTATGGCAATAGTTTTAGTACGGCCCGTATGGCTACACGTTTGACATTTAAGATCCATTTTCATTTCAATTTCGTCTGACGTTTTTGCCTGGTTTTGTGGCACTTAGGATGAGATATCCTGTAATATATATACAGGGTGACTTCGAAGTTGAGTCATTTATTTTAAAAGTGAGTAGATCTGATCAAAAGAAATATTTTTTTTCCTTTACCATTTTTTTGGTAAAATTAAAGTAACAAAGTTATAGCCCTTTGGAAGTTTGAGTACCGCCCTGTCTCAATAATAATATTATGTGCTCGTGTTTGGCGACAACGGATATTATCCGCCGTATCGGTTCATCGCGTCGGAAACAAAAAAGCGAAAGAATTTGGAACGATGTTTTTACAATTATTTCATTCATTTGTATACAGTCAGTGTCAGTGAATAGTGTGTTGCATGGCTCAAACGAAATAAAAAATGGCACATGTTTATGCGGATCGGTTTCCCAATCGAGTGCAACCAACCCCTCGTGCCTTTGTTAATGTAGTACAACGGGCTCGTGAATCAGGTGACTTAAGACCTCACTGGGGACCTCACGATGAAATACAGGTACGCACTGAAATAATTGTCGGGAGGATACTTTATAAAATAAGGTGAACATTTTTTTAATTTTTTTTTTATTTTAACACACATATTTTGGTTCATCTTCCTTCTACAATCATTATCTGAAAATTAATGACTCAACTTCAAAGTCACCCTATATATATATATATATATATATATATATATATATATATGTATATCAGGGTGGTCCATCCATGTGTGGACGGAATATTACTCATAAACAAATACATTTTGGGAAAATCTATTTTTGGCATGTTATACATGACATACCGGGTGGTCAAAGATACGAATTGTACCTTTTCTCAAAAATTTCAAATGCATCACCCAATTTTTTATAAGCTTTGTTTGGTATAAGGTTTGATTTAGATAAAATCACTAGATTTTGAGTTCTTATGCTTTTAATAGAACAACACACCAAAATTAAGGGAAAAAATCACATCATCCATGAAAATACAAGACAAACAGTGGGCTAGTTCCATATTGCCACTAGGAGTACAGAATTGACGTAAAAACTAATAACAGGACAGAACAGTATAAATCAGCTTCAAGCGTAATAGAGAAAAGCAACTATAATATCAACATGAACAAACAACTATCACTACTCAAGACCTAATCTACAGAAACTGCTCGAAAATATCTCCACCATGTTGAAGACACAGCCGTAGTCTTTGGATAAATGACCGTTGCACATCCCTCAGCATGTGTTCCCTTATGTTCACAAAAGCATCCTTAATCATTTCCTTCATATTTTCGGGGTAGATGGTAGATATCTACACCTATAAACCTCTTGCTTAACGTGGCTCCATAGGAAAAAGTCCATCGGTGTCATATCTGATGATCTAGGACAAGATATAGCCATCACGACCGATCCAACGATTGTTACTCCAGGTGTCCAAATAGTTACTCACACGATTATGATAATACGTAGGTGCGCCGTCATGTTGGAAGTACATAAGTATATGCATCAGAGTTGACAGGTTGACATCCTCCAAAAGCAAAGGCAAATGCTCGATCAAAAAAATCAAGTATTCTGTACCTGTTAATCTGTTATCGAAAAAGAAAGGCCCGATAACTTGTCTGCCAATAACTCCTCCCCAAACAAGCTCCATTTATTTTGGAAATCTGTTTGCCTAACCCAGTAAGGGTTTTCCATCGCATAATAGTGCATGTTATGCCTGTTTACAACACCTATGCTGTTAAAAGTTGCCTTGTCGCTAAAAAGAACCTTATTCAGGAAATCGGTATCTTCACTCACTTTATTTAGCATTATTCTACTAAACTCCATTCGAGATGCGAAATCCTGAGGACGAAGGCCTGGTTCGCCTGATTGGTGACACTTGGGTTATTTATACATTTTTTACTATAATATTCCACTGCTCCATTTGATTCAGAACGTTCTCGTAGTGAGGAAAATGGGTAGCGTTTTTATAATAATGCTCACAAAGCTAATTTTGACAGTTTGTAACTAATCAACAATTTAGTTGTTTCCGAGGATGATGCGATATTTTAGGGAATTAACCCATAAATAGATTTATCCAAAATGTATTTGTTTGAGTAATATTACGTCCACACATGGATGGGCCACTCTATATATATATATATATATATATATATATATATATATATATATATATATATATATATATGTATATATAAAGGGCAAAATCCGCAAAAAGGATGAAAGTGGCTTCGTCAGGCCCGAAATGAATGTACATATGCAATTACAAAAGTAGATACACATGTCCACACATTCGGATACGGGTGTAACCTGAGGAAACGAAGATAGAGAGGGAAAAAATCGACACACGAAGTCCACAACAAGAGCCAACATAGAGCCAAAATTTAATATTGCTGATATAACTAAGATACACAGCCGGATCATGGAGTGTAAACTATGGTTATCACAGTTATCGCCAGATATACAGGGTGTAAAGTTATGGGTGTATCACCGGAAGTCAGCTGATACAAGGTTTCAATACCTACCGATTGAACCATTCGAAAACCCAGCAACCACGCATTTCTTTTTAAAAAGGCTGTAACAAAAGTCTTAGGACATTAAAGAGGCAATTTATCGTTGACCAACAATATACTCTATATAATGGCCTCAGATGTCACTTGGTGGTCGAGTGTGTAGACTCAAATACTGACTAGCATATTCAACAACAAACTCGTGTAGAACTCGAGACTACATCAGAGTGTTTACCCTCTGCTGTGAAAAATGTTAATTGTTATTTGAATTTACAAAGTGACCTCTGAGGTCATTTCCTATGTGATAATTGAGATCATTTCGGAATTAATTTTTTGATTTCCCGAATTTTCATCTATCCTTTTTTCAAAAAAAATTCGTGGTTGCTGGGTATTTGGATATAACTTCAAGATTGGGTTTTAGATGCAACCTGTATGGACTTGGTGAAGATAACCTTGTTTATTGTGAATCTTGGCACAGGTGGCTGTCTCTGTTTATCTTTGAGCAAGAACTAGAACTCAGCAACCAGCTAACCAGTCGCTGTTTTGTAGTTTCGCTGCTGATGAACTGTGGCTTATGAAGGAAAAACCCGCTCAAAGGAATGCGTGTTTATTCTTGAAGATTGTACAAGTGACGTCTCTGTCATTAATTGCAATGGTGTCATGTCGGCCTCGCTGTCTCGTCGCGCGTGCGCTTGATGTGGAAAATACACACATGGAGGAAAGTTTGACTCTCGTCCCAACATAATCTTTGCCTTGAGTATGGATGTTGTGAATGTCCGTAGCTGATAGACGATATTCCTTTTCCTCTCTTTTCCTTGTATTCCTCTATAAATACGCACAGGTGGGTAGACCGTAGTCCTGCATGCTGGCTCAGATATAAAAAAATATACAACACTTAAGAATTTAGCTTGAGCATTACATAAATAAATCTGTTATTTCCGCTCTTTGAGGCCATTGTACTATCTCACAACTCAGGCCAAAATCCTACTAAAATATTCAAAAGCAACATGTTGAAAACGCATTAAACGGAGATGAGCGGCTTAAGATTCATATATCCCACGGTAATAACCAAATTCCACTCAACAGTATACGAAACATGATGAGATATTCATCAGAAGCGTCGCTCCGGTTAAAACCTCAGCGGTAGCAGAACAGCCGGTAGAGTAGCGCCGCCTGCCAGATGACGGTATAGTACCGTTTCACTAGTACGAGGGTAATCCCAAAAATATGGTCACCTATTTTTTTAACTACAGAAATTATTTATTTCCAGTAGTTGAATAACTCCATCACGCCAAAATGTCTAAACGGATCTGAATGAAATTTTGATCAGAGATAGATTATAGTCTGGAATAGCACATAGGCATAATCCCGGTTAATATCTTTGAAATATACAGGGTATAAACGTTACGATAGTCATTATTTAAATGGGTGATAGAGGGGGTTAAAAGAAGAGAAAAGTTTCAAATATCATGGAGGTTAAACCGGCATTTTTTAGAGAAAATCGCAACTCCAGACGCAAATTACGACGGAACGCAGTGTAAATAAAGATGGAGTTTGTTATTTTTGGCTCTTAGGCATTATTTCATTATTTGATAATGTACTCGTAAAATGCAAACAGTTAAAAAACGGACTTACCACTAACTGTCTCAGCGCTTCACCTGGTGTGTGAAAGTTTATTGAACGTATTAAATAACTCCACTTATAAATAGGGAACACAATTTTGATACATACATTGATTTTCTTTTTAAAACCCACACTGCACTTTTTTGTATTTAAAGAAGATGTTCAAAATGTCGTCCTCCACTTTCCAGACAAGCTTCATTACGACAAACCCAGCTTCTTCTTACTCTAGGTCCTCGAAGTTGTCCATTTATTATTTCAGCCGCATTAAAATTTTTTTCGCGAAGTTGTGCTTCAGTTATTATTGGACCAGCCTCATAAACCATCCCTTTAAGTTTTCCCCAATACCAGAAATCCATCGGATTCAGGTCAGGAGGTCTTGCTGGCCGTTTTCGAGGGTCATGAGCATTTCGACCGTTCCAGCGATTTGGATAATGTTCACTCAAATATCGAATGAAGCCTCTAAAAATGTGTGGTGGTGCCCCGTTATGAAGAAACCACAAATTCTGTCTCCGTGGTAATGGCATGTAGTCCAAGGTCTGTTACAAAATTTCTGGTAGGTTATTAGCTAGAAACCTAAGGTATCCTTCTCCTGACAACTTTGAGGATTTTCTTGGGCCCACGTCTGAGTATTACTGAAATTCAATATCCCGTCTCGCGTAAAAGTACAATCGTCCGTCGCTAGAATGTTTTTAAGAAAATCCGGATTTTCAATGTTTTTGTGCAAAAACCACTGACAGAATGTTAGTCTGGGAGGATAGTCTTCTGGTAACAAGGCCTGCAGTCGTTGTACTTGGTAGGGATAAAGCAAAATTTTCCCGAAGGCTTCTATGGACTATGGTATGTGACAGTCCTACGCGGCGTCGTAGTTCCCGAATGCTGATATCTGCATTGATCTCCACGATATTTAAAATTTGTTCCTCCTGCTCTACAGTAACCTGTCTTTCACGAGTGCGAGTATTAGTGGGCCGAACACTTCCTGTATCTCGAAGTCTTTGGTACACTTGCACAAATATCCTTCTGTCTGAGTGTACCCATTGGCGAAATCTGTCGCCATAAATTTGAGCTGCAAGATTTGAATTCTGACGAAACTAACAACATGTCGGCAACTCTTGATTCGAAAACATTGTAAATCAACACGACAACGTACGTGAACAAAAACAAAACAACATACTAACCACTGTTACCGTTTGCGATCGACTGCCGGTTCGATAAGATTGATGATGACTGACGCGCTGTTGTCATGTGTGTTTTAAATATTTAATTCAATGAAATTTACATTTGTTAATTACCCAATTTAAAAACGTTTTACATTAGATTATAAAAATTAGTAAGATTGTGGTGATTGTGGTCGATATAAAGCTCTCAAAGTTGTAAACTAAAGTCTATTGACTTGTGGGCCATGGGTCATATGAACTTTTTAACTTGTTTTGACCCCCCCCCTTCTATTACCCATTCCAATAAGGACTACCATAAGGTTTACACCCTGTTTATTTCATGGGCTATAGCCCAAATGCCTAAATGGGAATTGACATTAGGTGCCAGGCGCTGAAGCGCTTAGTAGCTGGTACGATCAAAATCAGCTACATTTCGACATTCGTTTTCTTAGCGTGATTATCTGGATTTCGGTTTGTATGTTTTACTTTAAGTATAATCCTGTAATTAAAAAGTTATTGAGTTAGGCTAGCTGTATTTTGTTGTAATTAGTATATTGTTGTAAATGCGAAATAAGTCAGTATGAATGTTTGTATGTATGTTCCACTTTAATACCAAAACGGCGAAACCGATTTTGACGAATTTTAGCATAGATATAGATTGGGAATTGGAAACGGATATATGCTACTTTTTGTTATAAGAATAAAACCTAAAGTAGTTTTAATAGGCACTGAAAGTTATTATAGGGGAAGATGAGTTAGAGATATAAATATGGATTTTCGATATTCGGTTCTTTCACATAGAAACTTCGGAAATCCTAGTTAACGGTGAAGTAGGTAGTAAACACCCTTGAAGCTGAAGATCCCATAATATTCTAAATCAGGCCACCCTGGAGATCAACAACTTTATCATAACATAAAAATAATATCAAAGAACTTAAGGGAGTATATCTGGAAAAAGAGGTAGGAGGGTGTAGCTATCTTCGAATATTTTACCGCAGAGCTGAAATAAGGAGGCCTGAAACAGAGGCTAAAAGATGTGCACGCATCAGTCACAAAGTTGTTGAACAGCATTTGGCGATCGCGATAACTGTAGATGGAGCCATTAATAAAATAACCAAATTTCCCAGGCATTGGCTGTCAATTCACTAATGCCAGGCTTAGTAATTTCGGTCGGGCCGAAGATTGAATGCTCCCGCACCTGGATTGCCGAGTTAAATGCCCAAGCTCATTAAGCTGATTCGGCTATTTGCGTAAAAAATCCCCCATTCTGATTTTACAAAATATTAATACACACAGTATTACTGGCAATGCTAGGACAAATCTAACAGTACCTTATATGTTAAAATCCATCAAGTCGTTTGGAATGTAGCCCGTAAAATAGAATTTCTTGTTTACATGTATAGATACCCAGCTGTGTCAAACATGAAGATTGTTTTAAGGTGAGGCACTTATAGCAGCAAGATGAAATTTTCAGGGTTTATTTTACATGGATTGAAATAGTTTTTGCAATGAAAGGAATAATTAAATACAACCTCAATTTTTTTACCGCCCTCCAACGTTGAGGAATGGAAGTGACATAACCATTGCTAAAACCAACCATTTAGCTCGTCTCAGAGAAAAAATCACAGCCCTTAACCTGATAGTTTAGTTGTAATTGCGACTGAAAGTTCATTATCTCGTTTATTTTTTTCGAAAATTCACAAAATTGCAAATACCTCCTGAACTATAAAATTTCGGACCACACATATAGAGGTTAATTCGATAGGTTTTCAAGCCCTCTATCAGCTGACTTCCGTTGATCCACTACTAACTTTACACCCTGTATATAGAGGATAAGATACTGGACCACATATTACAGTTGTACAAATGGTCCTTACCCGCCAAGCAGCATTAAAGACTGTATAATACAGGATTATGCTTGAACTGAGACAAAACATGAAACAAATCTAGATCAAGACGATCACGCTAAGTCTTTGAACGTCGAAATGCAGTAAATTCAGGATGCAAACGCCCTACTTATGTACATACCCATTTCAGCCTGACCAGCGTCTAAGCACTTCCGCGCCGGACACATAATGTCAAATTTCATCAAGCCGTTTACGTTATTTACAGAGATACGTCTGTACCAAGTTTCATCCAGGTCCGTCCAGCAGTTACTTACATCATTGCGTATCAGTAGGAAGGACTAGGCAACTGCGTAACTACTGTGATCCTACGGTAAGGTCAATTTATGTTGCTTGCGTTTATGCGTTTATAGTATCTTCCAGAGTTATTGGCCGATCAACACCACACGAAATAATTAAGCAAATCAAATCAATGAACGATGTGTAAACCTAAAGTTACATAGGAAACTACTACACTGGGCAAATCGTAAGCGCAGCTCCTTTGCACACACGAATTGATTAATAAAGTGTCATTGCTATCATTCTCTTTCTCAAAATAATTTTTGCAAAACTATCGATATCGACGGTAAGTTGAAGGTTCAGGTACTGCCTATATCTTATATTAGGAAGGTAATTAAAAGGTACGCCCATACCAAGTGGGTTGTCGCACTGACAGTAACAAGCATATATTGGGAATACTCTTACGCTAGTGAGAAATTATTCGAGGTAGCGAAACGAAGCTAAAGAACGTATGTTCGAGCCCCTCAAACATCATATTTATACCCTAGATATGAACATTAACAATTACATAGACGATTCCAAACTATTAGTGCTTTGTGATCGGAGTGGAACAGGGTGGACAATTTGGTGAACTATTTGTTATATATATATATATACATACATATATATATATATAACAAACAGTATGAAAATAATGGGCAAAATCCGCAAAAAGGAGTAAAGCGGATTCGAGCAGAAAATAGGATAGGTAACCCGAGCGATACGTATTTCTGCTGGTTGGCTCCATCAGGCCCGAAATGAATGCACATAATGCAACTACAAAAGTAGAAACACATGCCCACACATCCGGATACGGGTGTAACCTGAGGAAACGAATATGGAGACGGAAAAAAATCGACAAACGAAGTCCACAACGAGAGTCAACCTACACATTGTAGTATAAAATGGCTAGAAGACCTCGAATTTTCAAGGAGACATCTAACCACAACCACGCGGCCGGTTATAGCCACTTGCTGCATATACTTTGCCTTTTTTTTAAATCTAAAAAGCAATAATAAGTGTACGTAAGAACGTTGAAAATCATCATATTACTGATTTAAAATTCATAGAAAGATTTCACTTCACACTAGTCGTGATAGTACGTCATTTGTAGTGGAACTGCATCGGTGTTAGACTTACCTCCTAATTATCTTAGCTCATGTTGTCACGTCAGTTTTCGTGAGTTCACAATAGCTGCTAATTGACCAATACGTGTTCAACAATAAAGGAAAGAAAGAACCGTCGAAAATGGCATTGTGTCTCGTAGATAAAAGGATCGTGATGTCGCTGGCAGCTTTAACTAACGTTAGTCACGAGGCCCACCTGGGGCTCAGCTATCGGTCGTCCTTTGGTCTGGATGGTTCAAAATGAAACGCAATTTTCGTACAAATATTGGAGTTCAAGAACAGTCAATTTTACGTCATGAATAACTATATACCTTATACGAACCTAGGAAAAATGTCCTTCTACATAGCAGGGTGAATAAAAAGAAAAATCGACCGGTGAACACATTTTTCCAGAGTTGAATAAAAGTTTTTAGCTCACGTACTTCTTTACGCCCAGGGTCTAAAGGCACTTTAGCACCTGCTATGCGGATTGGCCCGAAAAACTAACCATATTCATTTGTTGCTAAGCAACCGGTCTAGCAAGCAGCACCCGGTAGTATAGTACGGTCAATTTATTTATTTTTATGCTCCCTCAAAAACTAGTCAATTCTTGACTTAATGTTATAAAGGCTGTTTCAGAAAGACCTGCCAATATTTCTAGGGTAGAAAGTACATCCAAAAATAACGAAAAAAGTTTTTATGAATATGGGTCCAAAGATGCTTCTCTGCCAAGATACAGAGTGATGAAGTTTAATTTGCGAAATTTAAAGAAATATGTATCAATAGAGCGGGTATTTCTGGATGTACTTTTTACCCCAGTCATACTAGCAGGTTTTTCTGAGACCCTGTATGTCTCTTGGCGTGTTATATTTTTTTGAGTATTAAAAGCGCAAAATACTACTCTATCGTTCTGTGGTAAGTAGGTCTAATGATTCAAGCAGTGGCAATATCATGTACAGTACTGAATTGGTACAACTGTTAAAGCGATGTAAATTCACCTTTACTCATAATAGTGTGAGAAGTGGGGAAACCAGATAAAATAAACGTTGATGTTCCTAATCTTATAAAAATTACCCTACAGAGGCGCATCTGGGATTGTGAATGACAATTAAAAATAAATCTTGAATCTTGATGACCGTGAGACACTAATACTTATCCGTTAAGCGCTTGGATGCTGTCAATAATCGCTTGATGAATACGGGCTTATTACAGCAGCTTAATTCTTGCGTTACGCTATGTTAAATACAAGTTGCTACCTACTAAGCACGTCAGTTGAACGTGAAGACACGGATTTATGTCAACACTCATTACAAAAGGTGTTTGTTAAGTTTTCAAGTGATTGAAAAGTAAGTATGTTCTCGTCTTGGTAAGTGTTGCTCACCCAGGGCTTTGCTAACATTAGCGCTAATAGAGATATATGTTAATAATTACGTATGCGGTATATGTGACTGCCAAAGTTTTCTAATATTCGATACATCTGAGTAGCCGTATTTACTTTTATGTTAAACGTTTTATTTTAGCTCCATCCTGACTGATTTGCCCTTCAAAATGCAAACAAGAAATTTATCATTCCAGCGAATCATACAAAATTTTAACTACCACTAGCTAAAGTCAAAAATATAGTAGAGTTGAACCAAAGAGTTGACCACAGTTTTGGAGCGCCTGTAGTTGCGTTGTTACCTAGGGACGAATAAATAAAGTCCACTTTCACGGTATTTGTTAAACGCTTGTTGTTTTATAAAAAGCTACTCCAGAACTGTTTTGATTCTACGCAATAGGTTTTCATGATTTCATATTGTAATTGGTTACCGGTAGGTCGAAACCTTTTGGGAGTTCTCTGTAGAAATCCTACTGATGTCCACAAAGGTTGATTTGTACATAGCAAACGCTAAAGTTGCTTCACCGACGTAAAGCGTAGGCATGGACTGAAAAGTGAAAGCTAGCGACAAGAAAATCTATCCATAAGGTACACAAAGTTTGTTAACGGAAGACTGCAGTGAAATGACAAGATCTGTAAAGGTCGAATATGTTTGCTTTAGTCAGAAGCGAACACGAATAAATGCATAGTAAATAGATTGTATTGAATACAAAGTTACACTTCAAATGTTGATTCTGATCGGTCAAAAATGGTCAAACTAAGGAAGAAATATAATCATTGGAGTAAAACCAGTTTTGAATAAAGTTACTGAAGTTGTGTTTCTTGAGCATTTTCCTTTTGTGAAATACTTCTACAAGGTTGTCTCTGTTTTCAAGAATCACTCTACTGCGTATGTGCATTTAAATGCTCATCTCCAAGGACACGATGGAAAGCAATTTATTAATGATGCATTCCGTATATAAACTCGCCTTCCATTTATACAAATATCTAGTCAATTTGTCTCTGACCTTGCGCCTCTTAAGTGATGCTTCACTGAAGTGTAGAAAATACTTATAGTAAGGTCACCCATTGGTGAAATCAGTTGCCTTCTGAAGCAACCAAAATTTGTCCATCTTACAGATTTAAAATTGCAGATTAAGGGCCGATTTCACCAACATTAATATTATGGACCAATGGGAAAATACCTTATCGAAATGCAATTTGACAGGAGTTGTCAAAGGTCTCAGAATATCAGTGATTTCTATTAAAATATTGAATAAAATCGTGAAAATTCGTCTGTATAATAAACAAGACCACTTCTTGATTCCAACATGATGCTTTTGTACAGAGGAAACAGGTCAACTTTCATGTATTTTGATTTGTGTTATAAATTTACATTTAACAATCAGTTATCCCCAAAAGCCAATGGGAATGCGGCAAATAATAGGTCGATTTTCTAGCTGTTGAATCTGGCAGCAGATTTGGACGTATGTTAATGCATGGCAATCTCGAATTTACGTTCAATATACTGTTATACTGTTATCATTACATACCTGTTAAATAGTGTGGATTTGTCTGTAATTTGCAAGAAAATAGAGTATAAAATACATTCCATCCAATTCCTCATCTTCCTTTACATCATAATAGTAATCATTTAATAATTTACGGGTTAATGAATTTCTTCAAAGCAATAAAAACATTGTCCTCTCCATCCTAAAACACAGATAATATGTGTAAGACGTGTCTCACAAATAAGGTCCTTCAAGTCCAAAAATCAAAAAACTATTAATGTTTATTGTTTGATTGCCTTTTCCACTAGTGGGGTTATCTATCTGTCACTCGCAGGGTTGCCAAGTCTAACGATGATCACGTCCCGTGATGAAGGGTGCGGCATGAATCTTTTATATTTGCTGGTTTTGAATTTAAAGTAGGAATACAAACATAGTACTTATGATAGTTGTAGCTAGAGTGATAACACTTCTTAAAGAATATTAAAAAAATGTGAACACCATCATGGTCTGTTGTCAAATTGCGAATGACGTATCTGAAAATTCTTACATACAGTGGACCTTCGTCTTAGTTTACTATCCTGATTATGATCATTTTTAGCAGATGTGTTGTATCATCAAATTGATGAACAAATATAAGAAAGCTCTTATATACCTACATGCAGAGGATTTTTCATGTAAATTTACTAGATATCATGATTATAAGAATCTTTGGTGGATTGTTCGATCCGGAATGGGAAAGATCTCCTATTTATGAAAATATTTTTGGTATCATCTAACCGTTGCAATCAGTGCACAAAAACTGTGACATATGATTTATAGCATAACCCGCTGCCCTATCAGTACAAATTTAACATACAGGTCGCCTAGCCGTGGGGATGCAGTGGTCGGGATGAATATCACGGCAGCAACTGATTATTTGGACATGTCTGGTAACAACGTATGAAGTGAAACTCGCTAACTTCACAAATTTGAAGATTTCGTACGATTTCTTTGAAAATGATGAAAGATATGTCTGATTTGGCAGTGTAATGTCGCAGCCAAATGGCAGTCACTCTTTCTGATATAGTCCGGATCGAAAGATGACGATACTCGTGAAATGTATTGATACTTCTAAATATAGGATCCTATCGAACATCCTTACTGTCAAAATGTATAACCTGAGGTACCGACGGAGCTATTTTGCCGCGTCATTTGCATTTCCAAGTGTTGTGCAACGATTTTGGGAAAAATTCCACGTATACTCTTATAAAGCATTGTATAGAATATTTCAACAGCTGGCGGAGCTTACTCCACTGGGACCAGGGGGGTGAAACGGGATATTAATGCATAATCTGGCAACCATGTCGCACCCTCACAAAATGGCCATACAAGTCACCGTGTTGTCATTGAGTAGCATGGAATTAAACTTTCTTTAAAGTATATGTTTTGTGACTGGGACCAAGGGTTGACAGATCCCACACATGTCATTCGATGAGTCTTGAAATACAATAAGCGTATTCAAATAATGTCTAATATAAATGCAACCTAGAATGTGTACTCGTGAAAAAAGTAAAATATGGCAAATTTGTAGTTTTTTTCCAGGTTTTAGGTTTGCTGGCAGCTTTAAGGCATATATTTGGGAATTTTTTAATCGCTGTGAATATAGTGTGGATCTTTGTTCAGTTCCTGAACGAAAAGTATTCAACTTTATGGATGTATGGATATCAAAAAACCTGAATAGTTTTGTGGGAATATCAATCTAAGGTGCCATAATGGTTCTGATGAACGGCAAGGAAATGAATGAATGTTTGGAAACAAGCAATATCTTTTGGTAGAGCCTGTCATCAAGTAGGTGCCTAATGGCTATCTGCAAGAGAGAAAAAACACCCAGTATCACATACCAGTTGAGGAAAATAACATAAATATGAATAAAAAATCAAAAATAGTAATTAAAACATGAATTTTATTCAAAAATCCAACATTTCTTTAAATTATGACTGAATTATATGTAATTTCTTAATATTCAATAAGCTGGTAATGTTTCAATGACAAGCTGTCATCTCATACTTTGACAGTATTTTTTTTAAACATTTCATAGCTATTGGTTGCTAAAATTTGTTGATTGGAACTTGAAGCTCATTCGTTGTATTTGACGGTCTGTTACCCTATACGTGGAGAATAACGGACTGTTGTTGGTGAAATTGGCCCTTAATATATTTTTCACAGCTCACAAAACGTAACGACTCAAATCCGTCCCTAGCATTATTGATAGAGGTTTTGAATTAATTTTTCATTTCCTAGGATTCTGGTTACCGCGACGAGGTGACATTGCCACCTATGAGTAGTTCGCAAAACGTGGTACTACCGACGCTAGTAGTAAGTACCTATGTCCGTTGCAGATAAATGGTTTAACGGCATTTCTGATTGACAGCATGCTACAATAAAGCGGACAATCTTTATTCATATTCACACTTTTGAGATAGTTGTTACTCAAAATATTTAAGACAATATCTGTACAAATTTTTACATTGTTCTATGTTATCGTTTTAGTAGATATAG